ATTTCACCTCCTCACTACGTACGACTCTGGATACTGTAGCTCCAGTGAAAACTAAGGTCTCTAATCAGAAGTACCTGACCCCGTGGTATAATTCTCAAACACATAGCCTAAAGCCGATGACTCATAAGCTGGAGAGGAAATGGCGTGTCACAAATTTAGAGGATCATCATTTAGCCTGGAGAAATAAGAAATAAGAACAGCTGAAGGTTTCTCTTCAGCACTGTAGCCACTTCTTCACAAATAACATTTTAACCATTAGAGACAAAATGACCCATAATCATCACACAGATGTAACATTATCTACAGCTACTTTTAGTACCATTGATATTCATTTAGAGTCTTTTTCTGTCATGGTCTGCCATTCCTCGCCGGTCGACCTGCCATGTCTGTGTTGTATTTGGATTTGTGTTTTCTACTCCTGGTCTGTGCATGTTTGTGTGCGTGTGGTGGTGTTTGTGTTTTGGTGCAACACCAGGCCTGAAGAGTTTCCCACCTTGGAGTTGGCCACCCCTCCTGACTAATCATGCTATCCTGATGCTGATCAGCCTTGTCAATGGCTCTCTACTTAACACAGTAGCTGACACTGTATCGTTGAGGAACACAGTCAGTAATCCAGCTCGTCAAGGTGAAAGTCTCCCAGGAGATTTACGGGAACATGTGGCGATAGCTGAGCACCATTGTACAGAGATAGAGCTGTAAGTTGTATTTTCACTATGAAGAGAAGTCACTGCGCGGTAGCATTCAACTCCAGTGAGTAGGATGCTGTGATTTCCATGACTGTTAGGATTGTTGACAACATGCAGGTATATGGTAAACAGGTCTCCAGTCCTGATAGATCCATGAGGGGCTGACCCTTGGGAACGAAGGCCAGGAAGAGACGAGCCAGCAGAGGAGGAAGAGCAGACCACGCAGCTTGGCCAGGCCCGACTTTCGCTCTCGGACTGCAGGAAATGACATCTGGCTGGTCAGTGTTTTTATTGTGGCAGATAAGGACACTATGCAGACACCTGTCCCACCTTGTCCGTCAGTAGCAGTAGGAATGCTGGTGGGCACGATTGAGGACGTCTCCCTACCTAGACTCCAGTGTTAGTGTCAGGTTTATATTGGCCTGCAAGTGATGATACCCATCGTCACTTGCAGGCCATTCAAATCTCCTTTTCCTGCAACCATGTTGAAAAGATTAGTTCCTTTCTGTTTGATGACGCTTGTATCCTTCGTTCTCGGCTATCCATGGCTAAATACACATGAACCCCATATTGACTGGTCCAAGGACTGTATTTGTCATGGTCTCCGTGTCTCCCTGGTTGACCTAGTTTCCAGGCTACATTTTGTTTTGAGAGTCTCTCTCTCACCTGTCTGCCTGGGCGGAGCTCAGCTGGGCTTCCGCCCTTGGCCCATGCAGCTGCTGTGAATCTGCCTGATTACGTGGACTCCTGGCCTGATTTTTAAGCTGAGGGCTCAGAAGGTGTCTTTGCTGGATTGTTGAGTTATTCTCGTCAGTACAGCTCTGATAATCTGTTTCTTGTGTGATTTCTCAGTTTATTCTAACCACGTTTCTCCTGTGCATAGACTCCTGGACTTGTCCTTATCCCTGGATCTGTTTCCCTGGTAGCGTGGCGTGGAGTAGGTGAGAGTGCTAAAGACAAATGCGAGAGGAGCGAACGAGCAGAGTGTGCTTCGCTTTTTCCCTTGGACCAATGAAAGTCCCTGCCCCCATACACTATTTATAATTTCACATAGTGTGTTTGTAAATACACTTGTGACTGTAATTCTAGTTCAGCTGGTCTGCACCTGAGTCAGTTTTCGCCCGCGTGACATTATTACCTTACCTTTTTTTAGGAGTTGCACAGCTGCTTTCCACCTCCAGCAGTTATGGAGCAGTCAGGATCATTTAGATGTGAATCATGTTTTACACACTAATGGTTTCTGTGGCTTTAGCTGCTCACTGCTGCTTTGTATAAATACAAATCATTGTTCCTCAGACTCACTGATAGATCGTCGGTGTATCGGGTTACGTTGTTTGACACCAGGAGAAGCGGAGCCATATCCAGGTAGGGAGCTGTGTCTGGGCAGGTAGTCTGTACTGTTTGATCTCCGCAGAGGAAAACCTTCTTTAGTCTGAGCAGACAAGAGGTACAAGCAATCTCAGGAAGATTAGTTTTATTAATAAGTGATCAATTTGTCTTTTTGAAAAGAAATTCACAAAATGCACAGAAATAATTTATGAATAATTAATTAATTAATGAACAAGGACTATAGTGATGATGATTTTAAAGGGTGGTGACTTCTTACTGAAGAGTCGACAGTCTTTTTGATGGCGTCGTACCATTTGCTGGCAGTGGAGTAACTGTCAGTCTGGACAAGGTACTCACTTCCTGTGCTTGTTTTAATCTAGATCAGGTAAAAACAACCAAAAAAACCAGTTCATTTCTGTACTATCTATTTTAAATAACCAGAGAGAATAAGCCATCAGCAGCAGGTAAGTGTTCACCTGGAAGACATTTTTCCTGCTTGATTTCTCAGTATTCCACTCAATGACTGCTCCACACAGCTGAAGCACATCTGCCTTACCTCCTGGTTTCTAAGAGCAAAGACAGTAATGTGATGGGTCACACAAGTTAGACATGATAAATAGAAGTAGAGATACATTGACAGTAGTGATGAAAGATTTTTATACCAGTCCAGTTTCCTGTTTGTCTTTATAAAACATTAACTGGTCTGAGGTGAGCACAGTCCACACTGAAGACCAGTTCTTCCTCTGCTTCTTACCACTGTCTGAAATTTTAGCCATATTCATGATTTCACCTTTCAAATCCACCTGGAAGCACACAAAAGGGAAATTAAGGAAGTGTTCAGACGTTTTATACATATGCTGTCGAGAGAGGGGGGAATCATCAGAAACCCAGAAAGACAAACTGAACATGGGACTTTACATCAAATCTATTTTAAAATAAACAGTGACTCTAAAGGTTAGCCATGTTTAGTTGTGAAAAACAAATCTGAATGAACAGACATGCATATTTAATCCATATGTCAACCAAACCAAGATGTCAGTGAACTCTCTGTAGACACCGATAATCAGACTCACTTGTGGGGATCAGAACAAGCCACTTCTAAAGCTTTGAACGTTCCTGGCCTCACCAGTAGTTTCAACCAGATGGCTATCCAAATCTGACATGCAGATTTGGATAGCCATCTGGATGCAAGAGGAATTTCTCTGACTCTGTGGGACTCCATGGCTCCATTAAAACCCAGACAGCCTTGGGCTAAACCTGCGCCTTGGTTTAATGACAGCGCTCACGCTGTTAAGAGGGAATGTCACCCAGCAGAACCCAGGTGGAGAAAGGATAAACTGCATGTATCATTTCAAATTTTCAAAGACTGCTGACATCGCTACCAGAACACTGTCAAAGAGACAAAGGGAATATTTGGAAAATGTGATTTCTTCCAACAGTCATAACCCATGTGTGTTATTTAACACCACTGACTCTGTTCCTAATACTCCACTGAATGTCTGTTTGGAAATTTCTCCTGATATTTGCAATAATTTTGAGGGTTTTTTTTTTTTTTTTCTTTTTTTTTTTTTTCTTTTTTGTCACCACCAGGGCTTTGATCACAGCTCCTGACTCTGACCCCTCTGTCTCTGTCCCTTGCACTGCTGTTTTTACTAAGTTTGACCTTGTGACCCTCTCCACTTTAGAGAATGTGGTGCGCCATATTAAGCTCACAGGTTCCCCCTAGGATCCTTTTCCTCCACAATTTTTTATTTTAAAGACATTTCTCCTAGTATAGGACGGTATGTCCTTGACATTATTAACAGCAGTCTGTCTTCTGGTGTGGTTCCTGCAAATTTCAAACATGCAGTAGTGCAGCCACTGCTTAAGAAACCTGGCCTTGATCACACAGTTGTGGCCAATTATAGGCCTATTTCCAAGCTGCCTTTACTTTCCAAGGTTTTAGAGAAAACTGTTTTTAGTCAACTTCAATATTTTCTGGATGATAATGGCATCATTGAGGTTTTTTCAATTAGATTTTAAAACCCTTCATAGCAGAATCTGCATTATTAAGGGTTTTTAATGACATCCTTTTGGTATGTGATTCGTTCTGGTCTTGCTTGACCTAGCTGCTGTTTTTGACACCGTAGACCACAATAGTTAAATGATGTAGTGGGTATTGGTGGCACTGCACTCAGTTCTCTTGGCCAAATAAGACCTAGACCTCCACCAGCCTTCTCAGTTCTGAATCATCATCTTCTGCTCCTCTGTCATGCAGCGTCTCACAGGGCTCAATTTTAGGGCCACTGCTGTTTTCACTGTATTTATTGCCGCTGGGCTCCATCCTTAGAAGGTCAAGGTCAAATTTATTTATATAGCACATTTCAAACAGCCGATGCTGCACAAAGTGCTTAACAATATAAAAATGGCATGTAAAAAGCAACAATGTAATACAATAATAGGACAATAAAATAATTAAAACAATAACTAAACTAATTCAAATAAGAGCAAAATGCTTGGGTCATAGTGTGTTCAAAGCCAGGGCATAGAAATGTCTTTAGTAATGATTTAAATTGCTCAAGTGTTTGTGCAGATCTAATATTTAAGGGGAGACTATTCCAAAGTCTGGGATCTGCCACAGCGAAGGATCTATCACCACGGGATGTGAGATAAGTCCGTGGGATGGACAGCATTAATTTTGAGCTAGACCTCGTGATTTTTCCTGGAGCATAGGCAGAGAGGAGCTCAGACAGGTAAGGAGGAGCTCGGGCATTAAGTGACTTAAAAACACAGTAAAAGTTTAAATTGGATCCTGTAGGAGGCAGGAAGCCAGTGTAAAGAAGCTAAAACTGGGGTTATATGCTCTCTCTGTTTGGTACCAGTTAGCAGGTGAGCGGCTGCATTTTGAACCATCTGAAGACGATGGATGGTGGCCTGATCTAGACCATAATACAATGAATTGCAGTAGTCTCATCTGCAAGTAAGGAAAAGATGAATAACACGCTCAAAGACGTTAGCCGGGAGGGATGGCTTTACCTTGGCCAGCTGTCTTAACTGAAAGAAGCAGGACTGAACTACTGCACTCACCTGCTTATTCAATTTAAAAGAACCATCAATGTAGACACAGAGGTTTTTTACATGTTTTACGATACGAGGAAAAGGCGCCCAGAGTGCTGTCAATATGATTAAAGTTGACAAAAATGACAACCTCGGTTTTATTTTCATTTAGCTTTAAAAAATTTAATGACAACCACTGTTTGACATTGTCAGCGTAATAAGAGCTGCAGATGGTCTGACCCTGCTTTTAAAGGTAGATAAATCTGCAGATCATCAGCAAAACAGTGAAATGAAATGCTGTACCGCGAGAAGATGGAGCCCAATGGCAACAAATAGAGTGCAAACAGGGCAGGACCCAAAATAGAGCCTTGAGGTACACCGTATTTAAGAGGGGCTATTTTGGAGTTGTGGGGGCCCATATTGACATGAAAAAACCTTTCTGACAAATGGGACCGAAACCACTGGAGGGCAGATCCTTTTAGGCCAGCATGAAATTCTAGCCGTGATAACAGGATGTCATGGTCGACCATGTCAAAAGCTGCTGACAAGTCCAACAATAAAAGGGCAGCAGGGCTGCGAAAGTCCAGAGTTAAAAGAACATCGTTAAAAATCCTTAAAAGTGCCGTCTCAGTCCTATGTAGTGATTTAAAACCAGATTGAAATTTTTCAGAGATCATATTAAAATCAAGGTGGTCCTGCAACTGTAGGTAGACCACTTTCTCCAAGACTTTAGATAGAAAAGGAAGCTTTGAGATAGGCCTGTAGTTGAACAGAACAGTTGGGTCCAGGTTTTGTTTTTTAAGAAGAGGCTGAACTACAGCTTGTTTAAAGCATGATGGGACACAGCCTGTAGCAAGGGACGTATTAATTAATCTCAGGATGAAAGGCCCAACAGTATTAAAAGTGCTTTTAAGCAAGCTTGGAGGGAGACAATCAGAGGGGCAGTGTGATGATCTTAGGTGACTAACTACTGCGGTCAAGTCATTAAGGGAGATGCGATCAAACTGCTCTAAGACAGCTGAGCACATAGGAGAAAGACTCGGATCTACTCGGGCAGCAGACAACGAGACAAGAGCCCTAATCGATAGAATCTTGTCATTAAAAAAATGCTTAAAAATCATCGCACATACTTGGTGAAGAAATGACTCCAGCATTATCACGTGAACTAAGAAAGCGATTAAGGACATTAAAAAGTACCTGAGGCCTGTGACTGTTTACTGACACTAAGTTTGAGACAAACTTTGTCTTTACAGTTTTTACAGCTTCTTGGTGAGCAGAAAGACGAGTCCTTAAAATCTGTAGGGAAACGTGCAATCTGTCCTTTTTCCATCTCCTTTCGGCGCGTCTGTAGTCACGTCTGAGGGAGCAGACGTTCATTATTCCAGAGCCCATAAAGGCATCAGAAAAAGCGGCGCTGTTAGAGCATTAAGCGCTCGCTTTTTGTGCGCTGGGACTTACGGCTTATCTACCGAGCAGCGCAGTGTTACAGTGAACAGAACAGGAAGATGATCGGAGATGCACAACTCGGATATTTCCGTGATGCACACATCCAGCCCGTGGGAGAGCACCAAGTCCAGTGTATGACCTTTTTCATGTGTGGGACCAGTAACCCACTGGGTCAAGTTAAAAGAGTCAATAATATTTAAAAAGTCCTTGACCAAAAGTTTAGAGTCACAGACATGGATGTTAAAATCACCAAGGATTAAAAAACTGTCGAATTTAAGAACGATTCCAGCCATAAAACCTGAAAACTCTTTGATGAAATCCTTGTTAAACTTGGGAGGACAGTATATGAGGGCACACAGCAAAGGCGCAGCAGAGTTTAGGTGTAACTCAAACAGCTGGAGTTCAAAACTAGAAAATGAGTCGTGCTGTAATATTTGATGGCAATGAAATCGAGCATTGAACACGGTGGCTAAGCCTCCCCCCCTACCAGAGGACCGAGGGGGGCTGAAGAATGAGAAATTAGGAGGAACCAGTTCCGAAAAAGCTACAGACTCACTGGGTTGAAGCCATGTTTCTGTCAGAAACATAAAGTCCAACTGTTGTGACTTTAGGAAGTCGTTTAATACAAACGTCTTGTTTGCTAATGATCTTACATTTAGT